TGTTCATAAGGCTGGTTAATAAGAGTGATGTCTTAGGCAGTATTATCCGTTAACCAAACTAAAAAAAAAATCGCTTATATTGGTAAATCATTTGCTTCTATTGGTTAATCAATTTGTGCAAATTCGACATGACGTTGGCCTATGCACATTTGCAGTTACGACCACCAATCGTTTTCAAAAAACGTTGAAATATTACCCTCCTCAGATTTGTCTTGGCATTATGTGAGTAATTTGTGTTAATTACAAAAATAACGAAAAGTATGCATGCAGTCAGTACAGTGATCATATTGACCATTGTGTAACTATGGCATTTGGTTCATCTAATCACTGGCAAACGTTATACGAGGAATTTCCATACTGCCTGAGTGGATCCTTTGCGGTATTCTTATTATTCTTATGTTTTCCAGCTTTAAGTGATAAATTAATGATAGATTATAGCCTAAAATAGCGAAAAAAACATTTTGCTCTGTATGAACATTTGCATTCAATGTGCTTCTTCATCTAATGTAAACAACGGAAAGTGTTTTAATGTGATGTCAATAATTTAGAACACGTGATTTTGGTGATAAGCTTTACCATATAAGGAAAAATTCAAATGTTGGAATGAGTGCGGATACATTTTGGTATACAAATGAATGTACTGCTAAGGGCTTCCTTGATTTTTTTTAATGTTTTTGTGCCAGGTGACAGTTTTAGACATCGAATGTCATTGTTGTCTTTCCTGACTTTTTTGTATATGCAAATTGCATTTTCTAGTGAATTTTTGCCACAGAAGTCATATTCATGTTTGGGACTACATGACAGGGCTGTACAGCCATCTTCCTATCAAATATCAATTTATTGCGCTATCCTGGCGTCAACCAGGCCCGGTCGAACACAAGCACCTGCGGACCTTAACCAAGGCTCTCCAAAAGTTGCATTCATTAGTTAATGAATCACGGCCAGTGGAATTGGCCTTCCTATTGAGTCTGTGGCACACTCATTCAGGGTTGGGGGTCGACCATTTTTGGTGTTCAGCCTGAGGTAGGATTTGAATTTGGGTTTACCGATCATGAGTCTGATGCAACAACCACTACGCTACCAGTGACCGGTTTTCTTGATTTGATAATTTTATGGTGTTCCCTCACAAAAATAAAGCAGTTCACAGTACTTAATCGTGAGCTTAGATACACACTGTATAATAAAGATCCCTGTATGACTTTGCAACTACGTGTTTGAGCCACATTAGTCTGAAAAAGTAATGTAAAAGCAGTAATTAAACTATGTATTGTTGTTTTGTTTGGACTATATTTTCTCAATAGTTTTGGAAGTGAGTTGACTTGGATGTCACATCTTAATTTTATTGCACTACAATGAGTCTTTTGTGATTTTATTCTGACTTTTGACTTGACAATAATTGGCTGATATCATTCAGGTGTGCATTGTTACCTTTGGTCAGTAAGTCTACACAATAACATGTATTTAATCACAGCTGTTGATCTCATGTAATCATTTAAAACTGCATGTACCGCTTTGTGATTATTAATTCATCCATCACTGTGTTGCATTTTGCCAAATTGCCTCATACTATTTTGCCTTGGTTACAGTTACACAGTTCCCATAGTTTTCTCAACTTCTATGTCAATAACAAGCACCATGGGAAGTTTGAGTTAAGTGTAAACGAGTCCACCTTTGAACAGAATCCCTCCTTTCTCCTTGTCTAATTCTCTCCAGTTTTTTCCCCCCAATTAATGAGCAGGGCTATATTCTATACTTGAAACAATATAACTTAAGTTATGTTTACTGGTATATGATAAATAAAGAATATGGAAAATTATATCCAGTTTTTTATACAAAAATCTATATGGGGCTTTTTTGAGTTGTACCATATTTGCTCTTTTAGAAGTGCATCTCCAGTGGAAGTGCAAATAAACCAAAAATCGCATTAGCTGCCTGAATCATTAAAATATTACTTATTTGGACCATGAAAAAAATCTAAAATTTAATTCACATACTATGTGCATATGCTACTAATAGAGACAATATGGTAGAGAAACTGTGGATTAAATATTTAAGTTTGCTACTGAAATTTGGAATCTAATATTATCCATCATGTTTAACACACTGTCAGTGTACATAAGATCCACATAGTTTGTAAGTCAGTATCCGACATGTGTTCGTGGTTTAATTTAATGTTGTGGCAACTAAACTTTTTAAACTGATAACTAGACAGAAGTTAATAATAATATTTAACTGGATGTTGTTATTTATATCTGAGTGATAACTTGTGCTCTGTTCAAGTGTTGATCTGTGTCGGTATACAAGACATACCTTTTCTTATATAGCTGCATGATCCCGTCGTTGGACATTGCACACAATGGTTCTCAGTATGCATTGTTTTTTGTTCTTTTCTTGAATGAGAATGCCCTACACAATTCATCCATGCGAGTTGTAGAATATAGCATATTTGGCCGTTCAGTTTACACCGTTGTGGGTCTGTTAAGATTTCATTCCAGTGGGTGTTCCTGATTCGTGTGTATTTATAGTCAAGTATTTGCATGACCGCTCTGAATCTCTAATCATTCATACACAACACTAACGTTTTCATTATGCGAGGACATGAGATGGACAGCCCCCTGGAAAGCAGTCATGTCTGAATGGAAGACGATATGCAATGATATGATATGATACAGGGCATGGTACATCTTTAAACCAGGATCTTTAATTACAGTCTGTTGCTAAAATAGGACTCAAAAAATGTGATGGGCTGGAGTTCATTGCACAAGTACTTGAACTTACATTTGGAAAACTATGATTTGTTCATCTGCTGTACAAGTTTATTTATGTGTATATATTGGATATTTTTTTAAAAACTATGGCATTTGGTTCATCTAATCACTGGCAAACGTTATACGAGGAATTTCCAGAAGGTTGGAATCTCAGAAGTAAGGATAAGTTTTTAATGGACATTTTATCTTGCCGTTCTAGGCTTTTAATTGCATGTACTACTTGGCGGTGTCTGGTGTTCCCCATTTCCCTATTTGTATTGGGTAGTGGCAATTTTATATTAATATCATGTTCCAGGATGCTTAAAATGACATGTTGTTTTCTTGGCTATTTTTTTTTTATTTTGTATACTTTTCTATGTTGATTTAGAAAATATTGTATACCTTTGTCACTATGCATGCTATCATAACAATGGACTTGTTAGTTAAAGGTCAGAGGTTAAATACATGAACGTCAAATGCCTGTGATTATAAGGAAAACAGTTCAAAGTGTAAGAAGTAGGGCAGAAAATAATTGGCACCTCATTCAATTAGTAATTTCTTTAAAATGATTATTTTGCATCCACAAATTTAAATAGAAATCATCCACCCCATCTTTGTTTTGTTCCAAGATGTGATGTGTGATTGTAGTACACATGTACATGTGTTTATGTTATGCTATGTCATGCAATTCTGTGGCACTATAGTGTAGATTTTCAGTCTCTATCATCTTACCCTCTAAGCAGTGGTTAACTGTTATTTCACCTATGTTTATATTAGAGTTAAAATAGACAGCTATATTTTTTCAAATAATTAAGTCAACTAGCTGCGTCACTGTTGATGAGTTTCGAACTTGTGTGTAAATACATTACGGAGAACTTTGAAAAAAATGTACTCACTGTCACAAATCTAGCCATGAAATCAACTCCTGTTTCTACAAAATATTTTGGCTCAACTACTTTACTACTCTGTTTTACTGTTTTCCTATCTGAACAGCTGACAGTCATAAGAGATTTGCACAAATGACAGTACCAGTATTATGTTATTATGAGGCATACTATTACTAAACTTTTCAGTCAACACCTGCTTTTCTAATAGACTTTTCTAACTGAAAAAAAATATTTTTTTAATTCAGAGCTTAAGTAATTTAGATTTCATTCATTCATTCATTCATTCATTCATTCATTCATTCATTCATTCATTCATTCATTCATTCATTCATTCATTCCTCTAATTGATGTGACCCAGCACTTGGCACAACGTGAATTATTGCCAGTGTTTCCTTTACTTGTAATAAAGTATATGTCAATTAAGACAAAACTTTGGTAGCAGCCATAGAATGATGTACATGTAAGTCACATGTATCATTTAGGACAATAATGGAAACATGATACCGTCAAATTGTTCAAATACACTTGTATGTTTGTAGCTTAGGATATTAATATTGAACCATAATTGAAGTTAAGGAATTTTTGAAAATCCTTCAACTCTTTCTACTGCCTTAAAAACATGTGTAAATAACATCATGCAACGTGAAAAAGTAACCTATTTTTAACTCAGTTTAAAATACTTCTGTAAATGAAACTAATGTGATTATTGTTGTAATGATGCAGTATCTTTAAAGAGTGTTTGTTTGCTTGGTTCCATTGAAATCCCATTATCGACAACATTATTATTTGAAAAAAATAGCACAGCAGATTTTTCTTGAAAAAACTGTGTTTCATTAGTACATACACATGTGTATCTTGCAGATAATTATGTTAATTTCTTCTATGAAGGCATTCATGTCCAGTGCTCCTGATGTATTTATTTTGTTATGCCCAAAATAAAATACATCCCTTTCCTCAGCTCTGGCTAAAGGGTCACATTTTTCGCTGGCTGAACACTCCAAATAACTACTGACTGAAAATAATCCTAATTTTATTCATTTCCAATGAGTTTCATATATTGTTTGTGTTCCACGTACATATGTGTCATTACAAGGTATCAATGTACTAGCCTGGGCTGCATCTTTTCTTGGTTCACCTTCGCTGACCTGCTTACAGTAGCATGGTGTACTTAATTTTACCATACAGGGTGGTTATTTGGGAAAAAATGGTGCAAATATCCAACAAGTTTGTACCTTGAGTTGATATCTTCTTGTGAATGACTTCCATCATCAACAAAAACCAAGTATTCTAGGATGAACAATTGAACAGGTACTGGAGTAATATCAATTTCTTACCACCTTTTTTCTTTTGTGTTTCCCTCCTTTAGATGAACAAGAAAGAGTTCAAAAGAAGACCTTTACAAATTGGATGAACTCGGTGCTTGCCAAGGTGAGTGCAGTGTTATTTAAGCTTCAATGAAGTCTCCATGTAGGAGTTACTCAACTGAAGTTTTCTGTCAAAAGATTTACAGTTTTGGCACATTTTTTAATTTAATTGAACTGAAAATACAGGTCTATATCTTGCTTCCATAATGATGGAAAAACTGCTTGTCATTTCCCACACCGGAATTTAAATTTTGCAATTTATAATTGTTTTAATATTGTGAGAGACAAATGTTTCTTGAATTTTGTGTGTCGCACTTAACGTAAGGTAGAAGCCCACTCATAAATTAAAATGCCCAGAATTTATTCATTTTGCAATAAACTGTACTCCAAGGCAATATAAGGATATTGACCTAAAAAAAGTTGGGGATCACCAGCCTTTTTCACTTTTTTTCGAGAAATTGATAGATGTATTTTAGTGGAAAGTCGCCATTTGAATACCGCTATAACACTTACCACAGGTTCCTATGGCAGAGATATTATGCAATATCTCAAAATCTAGCCTGGTGACATAAGCTGAAAAAATCATATATTGTTAATGATGGGGTACTTTTTGTTCTAAGTTGTTTGAAAATTCTGGGTTTTAAAAAGTGCAATTTATGACCAATTTTGTCAAAAATAATGACTAGGCTTCTACCTTAATAATGTTTTGAGAAAAACATTTGTCTTTATTTCACCATGATTATGGAATTAATACACAGAAAAAGTAAAGTACAACAAAATATATTGAAAAAAAATCTACGATAATCTTAAAATTATTAAGATATTTGATCTAATTTGCATAACAAATGATCCATTGGTTGGTTGTGTACACATAACCTCAGACAACTAATAATAATTTTTAGTTTTCCGAGACATAACTACGGTAAATAAGGTGGCTCAAAAAGCTGGTGGATGGTTCACTGACATTGAAACCACTTGTGCAGAACACTGTATGATCCAAATTTTAAATAATATACCAGTATTTTTATACTTATTTTCATATCACTTCCTTGTCTAGTCTGCACTTGTATCCAGTTGTGGCCATGTACTGCACTAAATCTTGGCTCCAACTTGCATGCATCATGGCCTTACAATGTGCAATGTGTCTTCCATCATCTTCCTGTCAACACTATTGACCCCCCCCCCCCCCCCCCCGGTACTATGGTTGATAAAACATAACATTCATGTCTAATATTAAAACCAATTAGATGCTATTTTTATGACTTCTAATGTAGTAATGTAAGGTCAAATGACACAGGAGAACTGACAGAGAAATTATGTTTGAATAATAATAATAATTGTTTACGACCAGACTATGTTGTTTATTGCTATTTCCTGTTGTTATTATATCTAATAATACTCACATCATTCAGTCACTACTACATTTAAGGGTTTCAAGCTATATCCTGAAAATTATATTTTATAAAATACTTTAATAAATGAAGCATAGTTATTCTCCCATGGTGCACCTCAACTACATGAACAATATCTTCACTTCAATACACAACTATTATCATAATGGCTGTTATTAGAAGTATCATCACCCCTTTGAAATTGGTAATGCAGCTCAATTTACCGTAAATTTGTCCAGACAAATCAGGATGGTTTATTAAATTATATACAAGTACATTACATTAACTACTGTATTTTCTCTATTAGTAATATGTGCTTTCATTTGGTTCAAGTGTTTGTAGTAAGTCATATCACCCATTTTAAAATGTACAATATATGCAAATTTTAGTATATCTAAGCTGTTACTTGAGTTGTGCCTCTGATGGAACAAATACAGCAGTTGTATAGATTTATATATTAATTTGTGGAGAGGCAGAATTACAATGTATGTATATTATAGTGTTTTAGGAATGGCAAATATTTGTATTGTACATTTGGATTATCTCTCATTTCATTTTTTCATATTCTCAGCTCCCATGAGTAATCTATAATGCCATTCCATGTCTGTGTTGTCAGTATTTGTATTTCAATGAATATCTGCCTGAAGGATTGTCTCAAGTTTTCACACTAGCACACAATACTGTGTAACTGTGTGCCCACTCACTCAAAATTTTGAGATATATTTAAGAATGACTGCGATTTTTATATTTCAAAACTACATACCGATAATGAACTCACACAGAGACTTGCTTGTCAGGCAGGGCCAGGCAATGAAAAAAACAAAAATTAATATTATTGATTGTCCTGAAGATTAACAAAAATCTCATCCACTCTATAAAAAGCTTTACTTCTTATACTAAGTATTTCTTATCTTCTAATAACCACCACATTGACCAGTGCCTGGTTGTCACATGTTTACACTTTCACCATATACCACCCATCATCTTACAAAGTAATTAAAAAAAACAGTTATATATATCTGCTCTGGGTATCACCTTACAATGAGGTCATGTGAGGTCAAACAAAATACATGTATACAATGTACCTGTAAATGTAATGTGGTAAGCTACTGAGTCAATAGAATTTAATGATGTCTCAAATGTCAGTCAAGTGCATCTAGTACTGTGCAAAAAACAGTTTAGTGAGGCTTCATTGATTTCTTGCAGTTTGTTTTAGTACTTTGCTGTGCATACATTTAAAAAAAAAATATTATACTGTAGAATACTTTATTTTCGCTTGGAATTTATTTTCGCTATTTTCGCTGAAGGAATGATTCCGTGAAAATAAAATCCAGCGAATATACATTTTTCCCTATATTTTACGTTAATCTCATCCAAAATCAGTGAAAATAAATTCCAAGCAAAACGCCCAAGAAGCCTTTTCAGCAAAAATTAATTCCAGCGAAAATAAAGAATTCCACAATATAACATAAAATAATATAATAAAATAGAATACTTAAATTACATTAACTTTCTTTTTTGAATATAGAGGAAATAAACATTTTGTCTTCTATAATATTATCCAATATGGCAATGCATGTCTTCATTACTGTACCTCAAAAAAAGCAGTAGCATAAAAAGTACTGTAACAAAGGTTATGATCTCGCGTAAAGCGAGTTATTTGGTATAAATACATAATTACATTAGTTTATTTTATTTTATCGAATGCAAATATAATACTATATGGCTCGTTGTTTAGTCGGTACCACTACCTAGGCAGCACTTGGCAAAGCCCAGCACAAGGATATGGCTTACCACAAACATGGCCGGTTTCAATTCCCCCTCCCCCTCTCCCTAGGACGTCATAAGCAACGTCCCTCACGTTTGTAGTCCGTCACACCCGGCACTGCCCCTAGCAAATTATTCCTAGCAAAAATATTGTTGAGGATGAAAATATCAGATTTTGTTGTAATGTCAAACCAGTAGATCATATACTCTCAGTGATCACATCAAGTGTTCAATCAAAAGTTGTAACATATGAGCATTAAATTTATAAGCAACTTGATTTTTTTCGTGAGAGGTCATGCCATTTTATTGCACAAATAAGGTGATATAAGATCTGTTTAAAAAGACGTCACTGTGATGTGGTTAATTATTTATGCATCATCCACTTTAGACAAATTCAAAGACGATGGTGATGATACTAGTATATTGATATTAACAATTGCTATAATTTAATTCAATGAACTATTTTCATCCATAACACTTCTATTAATATACTCACAACTTCTTCTACTATTTCAATTACTGTTCCATTCACTACATGTGCATATATTAACTATCATTCTTCTCCAGAGCAAGCAAAGCAAGGCTGTATGAAACCAATATTAGGTTGATAAAGTGTCAACTTACCTTTTCAATGTTGATTGCAGACATTTTCTGTATGCATAAATTCAAGCAACAAGTTGAGTTTGTATACATTTCCAAAATGTACATTTATTGTACAACTCTGTAACTTTGACTGCATACTGCAAGTATTGCACTGATGTATATTTGTTGTCAAACTCACATCATATGAGCACAGTATAAAACAAACATCCCAATATTGAAGTGTGCTGTGTATGGTTTAATTAATTTTTTGTATGTGTGCACCCATACTGAGTGTTGACATTATATATTTTTTTTTACAGCACACACCACCACAACATGTTGATGACATATTTGTTGATATCCGAGATGGAACAAAATTACTAGCATTACTGGAATCCCTCTCAGGTGAATCCCTGGTGAGTTGACAATTTCATTTCAACTTGTGACAGTAATTTACACCCACCAACATCAACACACAGTCCGTGTCTGTGTAATTTATGATATTTATTTGTTTATGTACCGGTACATTGTGCATACTAGTAAACTTTAAAATGAAATAGCAAACCAGCAAAGGTAAAATTCTGTAAAGTGCTTAAACCTTTTCATCGCCAGGCTTCCTTGTTCACATTTTTCTGCCCTTTTTTTTTTCGTATTCTTCAATATTTCTAGACAAGTCCCCTAATTTTGGGGCCAACAGACAAAATTTGAGTCAATTTTCAGTTTTTACTCAAAAAATTTAAGCTATTTTTGTCCCAATCTTCTGAATGAAAGTCCAGACTATAAACAGGACTATTTGGTGGTGAAGAGGTTATATAATGAAATGCAAAAATATTTTCTGGAGTAGCAACATTTATTATGACTAATCCATAAATTAAAATTTTCTGGTGTTAAAAGTCTGCGTTTTTCGTCCACATTGTGTAATATTTATTTTTTGCATCATGTACAGTCTAGATATGTCTGATTTCTATTTATATCTAAATAATAAATGTCCAATTGCTTCATATTTCAAATTTGGAAATGACAATGCAGAAGATCATATTTGGAATTCCATATTTGCTCTGTTAGTAGCACATGCATTTAAAGCGAGGGAGTCGTCACCTGCGCATGCGTCAGATGGCCATCGCGTGCCATTGTTCACGAACAAGCATCTACCCATGAGCCTTTGTGGTTTTAGCGTGTGTTGTTATCATCGCTTGGGACTCAATTCCTGCGCGTGCACAGGTGACCACCCTCTCACTTTAAGTAAATTTCAGAGGTATTTTTACAGTCAACTTTCATATTTTAATCATCCCGTACATAATAAATGTTAATTTTTGGTTTATATGTGCTTCTATTGGAAATAATTGTTACTATAGAAACAAAATGCATGCTTGGAAAATGGAGTCAACTCCATTGTACATTGTATATACTGTAGAATACTTTATTTTAGCTGGAATTAATTTTCGCTGAAAACACTTTTCAAGCGTTTTGTATGGAATTTATTTTCACTGATTTTTGACGAGTTGAATGAAAAATATAAGAAACAATGTATATTTGCTGGATTTTATTTTCACTGAATCATCCCTCCAGCAAAAATTTATTCCAAGCAAAAATTAAGTATTCTACAGTATGTCTGAAAGTTATAGCTCAGTACCATCATGTTTCAGTCACAGATACGTTTGTCTACACCTCCTAAAGTTCTTACACAAAGACATTGTGGTGGAGTAGACCATGTCGTTTAATTACTTGGTATCATAAAACCTTCTTTTTGGGAAAGGTTGATATGATATCATACATGTAGTGATAAAAATAAAACCATTTTTAATTAGCAAGGAACCTGGTGATTCTGCTGGTAGGCTGTGTGATGCCATGCACGAATTGTCAATATAATGTAGGACGAAATGTATCAGTGTCTAGATCTAGGTTAGAACATTTATTGCATTAAATATGTGAAATTTGACAAAACCAACAATATAGTGTGACTCTTCTTCATCACATATTTATTTATTTACATATGTACATTGTATTTCCTCTTTCTGCAGTTCAACATGTCAACAAACACACAAAATACATATAAAGTTGTACTTTATTTTTATTTGTTAGAAATATGAAAAAGGAAAGAACTTACGGCGGTTACATTTTCTCAGTAATATCCGAACTGCATTGGCATTCTTGGAAGGCAAGAAGGTGAGTAAATTTGTTCAGGTTTATTCATCCTTTTTTGGCAAGGTCTGTAAAATCTGGGGCTACTATTTTGTGTTCCATGTGTCTATCCAGAGCCATTTCTCAGACATGCATAGACCAATATTTTTCAATCTTGCCAAAGAGACATTATACATGAAGTCGTACATATGCATGACAATTTTGTTTCTGATTCAATCAAATATGGCAGACTAGTGACCATTTTGACATAAAATTGGCCTAAATTCTAATATTTGAATGACTGGCCTAATTTCAATTAAAATTGGTGTGATTATAAGAAGATGATCTGATTGCCTGTCTCAGCCTTTTATTTTTAAGCTTTATCCCAGTGCATTCATATAATTTCTGAATGTCAAATGCACTTCAAATATTAACAGGAAATATGCCATTCACAAAGACTTGTTAATTGTTATCCCAGTAATTGTGATAAATAACAACTTTGACTATAAAAAGGAATTATTAAAATTAGCTTTGGATGCATTCCCTCATCATAAGGTATGGATTTCGTAAGGGTTTTGCTGACAGAATTTATGACAATATCAATTTGTTATTTTCAGATCAAAATGGTGAACATCAATGCATCTGATATTGTTGATGGAAAGCCCTCTATAGTTCTAGGACTTGTCTGGACTATCATTCTGTACTATCAGGTAAGTTGTAAAGGGGAACCCTCTTGGATTGCACAAATATCGTATTTTGAGATATTAGTATACCGGTATATGTGCAACTTCAGATTTTAAATTCAATTTTTAATTGTATTATTATATCAATTTTGGTTTTAGTTTCTATTTAGCCATTATTCTAAATTACATGCCTTTTTTTTAGTCAGTTTGACAATAATTCAGTAATTTAGAACAGAAGCAAATCTTTGTGAATCCATGCATGTTGGACTATTATTCAAGTATGTAAGCAAAAAAGATAGAAACAAACTCAAATTAGAAGCTGAAACTTTCACCAGCAAACCAATGTGCTGAAAACCATTGACATTTGAACATAAAATGATATTTTCCAAAATTCAGGCAAATTATTATAATAATTATGTCACATATTGATATTGTCTCAAGCCCAAAGTATGGCTCAGAATGCATCGTATGTCACTTGACTTTTAGGCAGAGTACACAGATTGTGAAAGGAGAAATACATGTTGCTGTTCTCTCTTTTGCTAAGAAATTAGTGACATTTATGCAGCTAATAAAATAAGGAGGTGAAGAGGGGGGGGGGGTCATGCATTTGTATTCATGGAAATTACATGTCAAGTGTATCAATTTATCAATTACGTCATAGATTGAGGAACAGACCAACATATTAGCCAAACAGATCTTGACTGGACAACCCACGGAAACTGATGGTCAACCGCCGACCAAAAAGAAAGCTGGACTACAAGCTGCCAAAACAGGCGCCAAGAAAGCACTGTTGAAATGGGCACAGAGAGCTGCAGCCAAGTAAGTATTCCTACTAAACTATTATGCATTATACTTAAACATGGTATTCATAGAGACATGATAAATGCAATAATTTGTGAATATGGTATAAATGTATACCGGTATTATCCAATCATTGGTCAATAAAACAATTTACTATAAAATAAATTACCACCAGTTTCGATTGCAGAAATTTGTCAGTTTTTTTTTATGCGGTACAATGTAGATACATTCTGGATCAAAATAAAAGCTTTTGGAGATAGTTGACAAATTTCTGCTTCAATTCAGTGGGGCTGTGTATGTCAGATAGTGGAAATAATGTTGCATGTTTTAGACTCATGTCTTTTACCTTTTAGCACAGTATATAGTCATTCATCATAATATCACCAATGTTATTTATATACAATATTATAATATACCATCATTCATATTTGGGCATTGTGTGACATCTTTGTTTTATGTTATATTAACAGGTTTATTTCGTTGGCCCCTGAATCTGAATTTGTACTATTTAATAAACATAATATGCAATTTCAGATCACTACTCAAACATGTATTGATGGTATGTTATAATGTTATTAGTATGTTACTAGTAGTATGGTATGTTATTTTGGTTGTGCTGTATAAAATTCAGAAATGAGTCCTAGGTGTGGAATAGTGTGCATGTACACCTTGCCCACAACCTTCCATGACAATTGATTCATTAAAAATATATGTCTCAGTATCAGAGTAATATGTCATATTATATAACATTAATGTACTGTAAAATACTTTATTTTCGCTTGGAATTAATTTTCGCTATTTTCGCTGAAGGAATGATTCAGTGAAAATAAAATCCAGCGAATATACATTTTTTCCTACCTTTCACATTATAAAACTCATCAAAAATCAGTGAAAAAAAACTCCATACAAAACGCCTAAAAAGCCTTTTCAGCGAAAATTAATTCCAACAAAAATAAAGTATTCCACAGTATTTATGTACTTTTGACTGTCAAGATTGTGTGACACTATATCTTTCATCATAAATCACCTATTGCATTTGCTTTCTTAGAAGCGTATGTGGTAATATATGTAAATGTCTGATTAGACTTAAATAGGTTAGCAAGTCAGCTGAAATCAGATTTGTTGTTTACATACATGAATGTCCTTCTAATAAAGCAATTGCTGTAGTTACATTTCATTTTGAATTACAACATATTGTATTCAGTATAACATTTTATTTATGAATTCAATATTGTGTGTAATTACATACTATATCATATATCTTATTCAATCATAGGCCCTATTTATGCTCTCTTTTAGAGGGTCTATGATTCAATACAGTATTTGTGGGACTTTATAAGACCGTGCTGTATAGAAATCATGCATGGAATTAGTCTTATTGTATGTCTGATTATGATTATTGTATGTAAAAACTGTCATTCTTGTGACTAGAAACAAATTTGGAATACCAACCTCTCTCTCTGTCAATTTGAGTGTTTTTTCTACATTAATTCAGAATGACTGATTTCTTGACCAGGCAGATGGAGGAGATATTTAATTACATATTTTATCGAGTCAGAGTAGTATCGGTGTATTAATATCTACCAGGATGTATTGTTTATAGTGAACATTTTCAAGTGTTTCACCCATGCTTGTACCTGGTAAAATAAAAATGTGATTGAAAAGAAATATGTAGACATCAAGAATGACAGTTATATAATATGTTTGTGTCATACATGAATTCTGATATTTACCCCCTTCTGTAGGAGAGTAGACCGTGCAGTGGGTGGCGATGATGATAATATGGACACAAGGCGAGTTATACAAAACACATTAGTTGCATGGAAATGATAGCTAATCGACTGCTAACTGAAAACTAATTCAATCCAGTGCTAATATGTGACTAAATAAAATAACCCACCTGTGTACTTCCTGGTCACATCCCGATGAATTCAATCTTATCTTGGTTTTTTCAGTCCCCAGCTTAATGGTGGATAGATTTTACAATTATTGAATTTATCTCCAGTGCCAAAGTTTGTTTTTTTTAAGATACTAATCGTCTATAGCATGTTACTTGTAGATTTTACCACTGGTGTTCTACTTTATCACTGTGCAATATGCTTTGAACCGTTTAAATTTCCCTGCTAGGCATTTTCAGGATTTGAGGATTTTATGTAAAAATTTCATGAAAATCACTGTCAAATGCCACTGCTACTAAATTTTGCAATTTTTACAAACTCTCAAAATTTCCGAAAAGTTTATAAACTGAGATTTGACTAATACATTAGAGATTCTTATTACAGCTTTTTCTTCTGTGCTACATTGCATGTATGTGTGTATAGTAGTATGCATCGAAGGATGGAACAATCACCATTGGCAACCATCTGTATCTTTCTGAATCTCCATGCTTAACCCTTTCACCACCAGTTCCCTCCTTTCATCACAAATTCACAAAATAGTCCTGTTAATAGTCTACATTATCCTTCAAAAGATTGGGACAAAAATAGCCAAATTATTTTTAGTAAAAACTGAAAATTGACTCAAATTTTGTCTGATTGGTTCAAAATTAATATACCGGGGGTATTATTTCTAGAAAAAGCAGAAAAATGTGGGTGAGAAAGTTCTGGTGGTGAAAAGGTTAATTTGTGATGCAACATAGTTTTTATTTCCCAATATCTGCTCATAATTATAAGAAAACTAAAACAGCATATTTGAATATTCATAACATCAAATTAATGAAATATTTCAAATATTGTTCCAAAGTTTTTGTAATATTGATGTATACAGCAGATAGTTGCCAGGTTGCCATTGTTCTAAAAAAAAATAACATGTAGAAAAAAGCTAACAATCATACTGCACTTTTCACTTTAGATGTTTGCCTCGAGGACGTATTCAAATATCAGAGCTGAAATTTTCGAGAAGGCGAGTTTTTTGCCTCAGTGCTAAACGTTGCGATCCAAGTTTCCCATAATGCATGTGTACAGAATATGGGACAATGCACGTTGTATTAATAATAATAACAATTGGGTTATGTGTGAAAATCAGATGTCAGATTCGGAATTGTCAATTTCTTCCAGAGAGAGAGAGTACAACTGTGAACTGTATTATCTTCGACAGTAACAATTATCACGATTTGTGAGCATTTGTGCTAAAGTATATTTGTAAAAATCACTGAATTACTATCTTAGGATCTCATTGAAATTTTGATGACTACAACATTTTGTGGTGAATCCCACACTTACGAAATGTGCAAATATTTGTCTCTCGAAAAAAGCAGTTCACAGCATTTATGCACCATAATGTACATTATGGTTCGCAATGCATCATGGGATATTTATGTAAATACATGGAGCTCTCATAAAATTTGTTTGTGCTATGTGCTTCACTCAAGATTAGAACTATGTTGGATACAGTAAATTATGACTGTTCCATGTGGTTACTTTATAAATTGATACTTGAATCTGACATTCTGATTTACGTGTACTTTTATTGTGTTAGTATATTGGTATGATTATTGTTTATTTCTATCTCTGTCATGTGACATATAGTTGTCAGTTTATATGGGCATGAACTGAATATGGTATTTTAGTGTACTCAGCAATATGGAGTACAACTTATCTTTGTTATTTTTAGGCAACTTCTAATGGGATGTATACCTAGGTATAGATGTCTATGTTTCTAGGCTTTGGAATATCTTATACTGTGCAGGTCTTTATATACTTTGCTGCTAATTAAAATTATGGAAGTTTTTGTAGCAAAATTATTGTCATACATGCATCACTAGACAGATTAGAAAAAAGTCACTCAGAACAACTAATGATCATCCTCATTTTGGCCATCACTCATTTTAAGTTATACATTGTCAATTATGTCACTGTGTTTTTGAATATAAAATTATGGAAGAAATATCTTACAGAAAAGGATGTAAATGATATAAAATATGATGCAAAATACTCCATAATTTTGAATAGCACAATGCAAAAACTGTGTCAAATGAAGATGTGTCAAATTTTCATTGCAGAACTACCAGCACTGACATCAAAGACTTTGGCAAGAGTTGGAGAGATGGTATGGCATTTAATGTGATGATTCACAGCATACGACCGGAACTCATAGACCTGGCGTCATTGCAACCCAAAACCAATGAACAGAGATTGGACAATGCATTCACAGTCGCTGAGAGGGATCTTGGCATTCCACAGCTACTTGATCCAAAAGGTAAGTAACTATTAACTTATCCATATGTGTAGTGAGTGAGACGAAGATCTGTATAATGTGAATCCCCGCCATCTTTGCTTTCGTTACAAACTTGAAACCTTCTTCTGCAGACGATGGTATTTTCTCTTCAGTATTAACATAAACTCCTCTCTTTATGGATAAACAGAATGGTTGTACCATACCTTTGGAGCATGCTGATCAGTTATCGTTCATCAAACCTCAATCCAAATCAACTAAAAGGATGATGAAGTTGTTACTAATTTCTTATATACATGACTTGTATAAATTGTTAACTCTATGTTTTCTGTTTCAGATGTGGATGTAGACAAACCAGATGAGAAATCTATCATGACTTATGTCTCACAGTTCCTGAAAGAATATCCAGAAGTGGGAGATGACGAGTCCTCATCGGTAAGTCTCTGTAAATCTGACTCGCCTATGAAGTCATCCATAAATGGATAGATACAGTTCCTTATATCCCAGCTGCCTCTGTCTGTTTTCTCTGCTTTGCTATCGAAAAATAGACTCCAGAACATTTGTCTGTGTATCGAAATTGAATGTAGTGGATTGATTGGTCACATTTTTAATGAGTAACTATTTATTCATTCATATGCCCTGATTTGCATAAGTAACTGAAAGTAGACGAAATCTCAATTGGCGTCATTGTCACAAAAAGAGTGCTACTAGTTTTCATTTCTGTCCACAATAACTCCAGCCAATGCATACATGTTTGATGACATATTTAATATTTGATTTATAATTATTACGGTACCAATCATTTCTTATTTATTTTTTTGTCAATCACATATTCTTTTAGCACCAACTTTGAAAATGAGTAAAACTAGAATGAATCTCAGAATTCATTTATTTTTTGTTGTTTTCAAGCCCAACGCAGAAACCATTTTGAATAAGTTGGACACAAATTTAATTTATTGGTCAATTTTGTTGAATATTTTTAAAATTCATTGTTGTTTTATTCAGTATGCAATGCCACATATGATCTAATCTGATTAGTTGAACAAATTGAGGATCATTTTACCATAAATTTACAAGTTGATTGAGCACTGAATCGTGTTTTACTAGCAACATATTTGAATGTGAAAAATATCTTTGTATGTTTGCAGCCCATATTGCAACCAAGGAGATGCACTACAAAGTGTGTAACACAACTGTTCTGTTCTGTTCAAGTGACTGACCATACATGTACATGTGTTTTTTCTCTCAGTTAATGGGTTCTGTGCGTGATATGCATGCTGTAGCTAAGGAAGAAGAGTCACTTTATCAGGAGATTCTGGACCATGTTCTCAGAGCTGAAGCCGTTCTTGTCATGGCAAAGGAAGGAAAAATGAATAAACTTGAAGAATATGAGGTTTGTAAGGTCTTTCTTTCAAATATATGTACATATAGTTCATGTACATTTTATTTATTAAATGACTATTGTTTGGAGTACAATGGATTGAAATTCAGAACACTTTAATAGTGTTAGCAATTTTAGGAACTTTATGAATGACCTTTGACCCATAATGAATTAATATTGTAATGTAAGCAGCTATATTTCACAAAAGGCAAATTTTCATGAAGTTCGCTTTTCAATGAAAATCATGTAATATTCTAGCAGTAAAAATTCTACTGGGGTCCTTTCTTATAGTTTTGCCCCCACAAATTTCTAAAAATAAATTATTTACTGATTGAGATTGACATAATTTAACATATTATTATTACAGCAATATGAAGAACTAAGTGAGGTCCATGAACACAAGAAAAAAGCCTACGTAGTATTTGTCACAAAATATGAAAATAAAGTCCTTGTCTCAATCACTGAAGAAAAAGTAGTCACCATCTGCGAAAGATGGGAGAGAGTAACTAGGCAAGTCATAGCCTGGAAACAAGCCATTGATGCCACTATGCCCAAACCATTGATGTATTTGATTAAATGGATTGAAAGAGCTGAAGTACTAGTGAAGGTTGAACCAACTATCCAAAAAGATAATTATGAAGAAAGTGCTAAAGAAATCAAAAGCAAGTTGAGTGAACATATGGTAAGTTTCAGTTGCTGGTTTCTCTGATTGTACTATTTATTGGAAAGACAAGAAATTTCTGGTCTGTTCTGTTAGCTGTTTTGTGTTCCATTCTGTTGTGTTTATTTTTCAAAATATTTTTGTGCCAGGTGACAGTTCCGGACATTGAATGTCACTATTGTCTTCTGACTTTTTTTTTATGTGAAAAGTGCAAGTTATATAGTGCATATACAAACATATAGTGCATTTTGTGTCACAGAAACCTTATTGCATGTTAGGGAACTGTGTTTGACCATCATAATTGCAATTTAATGCACTATCCCGGTGTCAACCGTGTCTGGTCAAACACAATCATCGGTGGATCTTAGCCAAGGTTCCCTCAATGTTACATACATGTTACATAGTGGATGCTCTGTTCTTTGATGTCTTGTATATTAAAGACTAGAAAGGAAGCACACTGACGCTGTACCGTTACTTATTAAAATTGACACAGAGGGCGCTATTCTAAATTTCCCCATGCTTTGTGAAAATACCTGTGACAAGACTGATGGGAGGCAGGTGCTAATTTATTTCATAGCAGTAGACAGACAATCCCAGATGAATGTAAACAGACTGCAGTGACTGGATCAGGTGTTTGATGTTTAATAATAGTATACAACACTTCATCCCCCCAATGACATGTAGTTGGTCTAATCTCAACGTCTAATATGGGTGTGTCAGGTCAATTGAGGTCATGGAACTTAACATACCTCCATGCGCACATTGTATATAATAACAATGCTCTTCAGAGTGTTCTAGTTAGTAAACTGCGTTGCATATTTAATGACGTAGTGGGCTGCTTTAGATCAGTAGCAATGTTTTTATTGGCTGTATCTACCCCATGCTGATACAGAATGTTGTGTTGAATACTGCGTAGTAATTGTTGATTGATCTATTCAGGTAACTGTCAACTCTTTGTTCATTGCATGAAGTAGACCTACTTCCACAAAACAATAAGACATGCATTCCTGCATGTGTGAAAGTTAAAGATTAATGTCCTATTATTTGTACTGTACTGCAGAGGAATATAAGATGAATTCGTTGACGCTTATTGTGTTAAAGGAGATTTTAACACTGATAATTTGTACCGGCATTAACAGAATAGATGTTATATCAATCTAAGCAATCACAACATGATGCGGGACGTGATTGCTAAATTGATTAAATTTAGTACTAGTTTGCAAATAGTGGAAGCAGTTTATAATGTATATGTTTGTGGCTCAATCGCTTGACAACGTAGGAATGACAAATAAAAATTTGGTTGTAATTGGATATAAAAAAATGTTTGTATGTGTTTATTTTTTGGTTTACAATCTAGCCTAAATAATGATATAGAATATCACCTATTTCACACTGATTTAATTATTATATTGTTCTCTTGTCTACTCTCAATGGAATTAGCTTACATAGTTAAATTTATGATTTGAAGTCCAATATTTATTTCATTGCATTGTTGGGTTACCAAGATTGCATGTCTTCAGTCGTTCTACTGACATGCTGTTGCGGTATTGCCACTATTCAAGTTAGTTCCACACAAAGTCACTGTTCTCAGGCTGAGGTCGATCAAAGTAATATTTGCACTGATCTTGATGTTTATTAGGCAGCGAAATTGATGACAAAGTTGTTCAAGTGTATGCAAACATGCAATATACCCAAGCTTTCATAGCTTGATTTCAATTCCAACTTTGCTGATTCAAGGTCACAAGGTGACTAGGTGCTGGTTATTTTTGTCACGATACTTGATAAAGAGACTGCCACACGCGTGGAAGACATTCCATGTTATTTTTGTTGAACTCAGGACTAAGACTAAAATACTGAAACCAAAAACATTGATATATTGATTTATTCAGTCAATTTTTGTGTGTACTGATTTTGCCTGCTGATGAATGTATCTGCTAACTTTTTCCATAATCATTTTTAAACCATGGGCTTCAAGTTTTTTTTTTTTTATCCATATTCAAGAATATTCTCACAAAATAATACTCATATTGTAGTGTTTTGTAATTAAATTTTAATTAGTGACTCTTATATTTTTGTTAAATTGTATAATAATTTGAAGTCAAATGTTTTTTATTGTAGGGATTTTTTAAAGATTCTGACAGGGCGAAATCAGTTTTAGAGGAAATATGTGAAAGTGGTCAGTGTGAAGGAACAAAACTCCCATCATCACAGCTTAATAAAATGGCAACTAGACTTGACAATGTCCTTCCGACTGCCAAACGAAGACAGTTGAAACTTCAGTATGAAGAGTTAAAATATGGCATGTTAGGATTTGTTGTGATGGCGGAGAGAAGGTTGAAATCGTGGACTGTCAAATATGGAAACCAAGAAAATGTTGAAGCATTGCTTGATAATTACATGGTGAGTTATTCAAGAATCCATATACAGCAATACTAATTCCAACCCATGACACATTACAAGTGTATGTGTTGATCATGTGTCTATATTACTATAAAGAATTGAATGAAAAATGTTTATTTACGTTTATGAATATAATATTCATGAGTTTAGGAACTTAATGATTTTATATTTCTTTTGTTAGAAACGCATAAATACTTACTTGAAATTCTCTGTCAAAAAATAATTAAATTTTTGCTTACATGTGGTTCTCTTACAATGCTTTTTTAATACTAATACTATCAATATTATATTATAAGTGTATGCATTAGTTATGGTAAAGCTTGTTTTCCAGTTTCCCAGTTTCCCAGTATCCGTGATACCAACAATACAAAAGAGTAAATAATGACATCTGATATGGATGCTTTTAACTCAGTAGACATGCTTAAACTTGCTTGTCATATATCCAGAGTTTGTGTACACAGATGTACAAAGATCATCATGGATTATAATGAGTTTGGAATAAATGAATTTGAATATACATTGTGCTAAGTCTGAAATAAACCCATACCAGTGCTATTGGTCAATGACTTCCAACTATGAACAAGATGTATTGATGTCATAGCATTTTTAAATCTGTATGATGATTCAGAATTCCCATTCGAATTAAAAATTAAGCTAATACTACAATGAATAAGATATTACTGCTGCAATGACATAATATTTTGCATTATTTTCTAAAACTATGCTAAAATGTTTTTCAGGATTTTATTGAAAAGGATAAATTCTTTCAAAGATATGAGTCAGGGTTTCAGCAACTGCAGGCAGTAGCAGAGGCCTATTACAATGGTATCCAAGATGGTAAGTTTATATATATATATATATATATATAATGTAAATAGTCCCTCAGATATGGAACTATTACCTCTTTCACCATCTGTGTTAATTGTTGTAACCTTCCACAAAGTAGATCTGTAGATCAGAAACAGATGATTATGTTGTTTCACTTGTGAGGTCACAGAAAGTGACAAAAAGTAATAATTGCTTCAGCCGAATAATCAGAATCACAAATTATTTAAATATAAGCAGTATTTAGTCACTTATTTGTAATACTAGTAGTAGTTTCTAATTACTGTTAATTATTTTTAGATGGAAATAGCTGAAACTATTGTTTGCATGATATCAGAAAATTGTTGCTATTGCTATCCCATATTTGTACAATGTCAAACAGGGCATTTGCATATAACCTTATTAGGAAAAGTAAATTCCATATAAGGAGTGACCCACTCACAGCTTGGCTTGCTTTCTACAATAACAATAAGAAACCTGTCAGCCCTGTGGGCATTCTATTTGCATTCTTGTACTTTATTCACAAAACAGTCCCACTGCTTGGATATAAAAGATGTATAGTAATAAGTACCGGTAGATACAGCAAATAAAGCACTTTGACTGTATGTCATTGCACCGATTGCTGGTATATACTCTCACTACGGTGCTATAGACATCAGTTTATAGTTGATTGATGACAAAAGGTCACATGTCATGTAGTTGGCTCAATGTTTGAGGGTTTCTATTGAAATATGAGTTAATTTATTACATAAAGGGTTTATTTCAGCCTAGTGGGGCTATATATATAACACATTATCAAAGCAATATACTTACGTTTAATGAGCGTTAATGTTACCAGCACTATTATAACTATGATCATTTAGAACAGTTAATATTTGCCGGTTGAACTATTACTTTAATATATTTAAAAAAAAAAATAATTCTTGTGAAAAAGGAAAAACAATACTTTTGAACTTTGTCGTTTGGAAACAGCTGGTGAGCTAAAAATAGCTCTCCTGAACACAGTGACATGTGAGTGATTAGGGGAGCGGTGATATTAAAGTGACAATAGCTGTAACTATCGATTTTTTTTCTCAGATTTTTATTTTTTATATTACACATTCCCTGTGTCATTAGTGTCGATTTGTAATGGCTATCACTGAAATGTGAACACTGAAAGCACAGTATATATGCTACATATCGATGTTGTACTTTAAATCACTTGTAAGTGGAAAAAGATGGCTGCAGGGTTCCTTACGGGTCTCCAGAGGGTGAAACCTCTGGGATTACGGTACAAGATGACAACTTTAATGGGGGCCCGGTGAAATGTCAAATACACACCATCTTGTATGGCAAACCCTCTCATGATCTATTGTTGCTTTAAAATGGTGTGAATTGGAAGAGTGATACTTAGCTCTAGTGGATCTTTCATTTAAGCAAGTCGTTAAAAGTCTGTAATAACGGTGTTTATTTAGCACAGTTATGTCCACAGTGTTTTGCACAAATATTCTTTCTGATTAACCTTTATTTATCTTTTCATCTATTTAAGCCGAAGAAAAATCAAAGGTTCGTAAATTTGTAAATGAACAAGGTACAAAGATGAAGAACCTTTCTGTAGAGATACATAGTGTAGAAAGTATGCTAGATAAAGTTCTCCAAAACTGGACCAACTACAACAGATCAGTGGAAGAACTGCAGGCATGGTTGGAACATGCTGAAAGAGTTCTCACACAGCCTCATGAAGCTAGAAAGGTATTGCAATAAACATTCAAATCTGAATCCAGTAAAAGTGAAAAATGTAATTTTATGATCCATTAGAACTAGTGAATATTTCAAAAACATATATCTTGAAAAGTAATTTTAATTATATTAGTTTACCCTGTAAACAGCAAATTAAAAAGTCTTGTCACCTTCACAAAGTAATAAGCAGTGGAGGAAATTATGATACAAAATTAATAATCCAATTTGTGTAAGATTAATAAGCTTAAAGAGTTATATTGATATTTAACAATAATGAAAATTGCAAGAAAACTTATGTATGTACCCAGACAGTAATCTGGCTGCACCATCCTCCATTACAGCAAATTCTTTGTGGAATCTTGGCAATAACACCTTCATAATTGCATACAAACTGTTAAAATTCATGTTTAATATTTCAGGAGTTCTTTCGAGACCTCCAGACTTGGATGGACAAACATACACTACTAAATGACTCAGGTAACTTCCTGATAGAAGTATGTAAAGAAGACGTCTCTTTCGACATCAAACAACAATTACTGCTTTTGAATAGAAGATGGAAAGACATCTTTGAACAGGGAAAAATTTACATGAAAGAAGAGGAGGCCGAAAGATTACAGAGACAGTACGCTGCTGGCTTGAAATCCATGACAGTTTGGTTGGACAGAGCTGAGAAGTTATTGAAAGATCCTATAGATTGTACATATAAGGGGTTGAAAGAACTTGTACAGGACTTAGATGTAAGTTTATTTATTCTGTAATTTGTTGGCTGACTTGACTGAAATGATAGTTTGTTAATCAAATATCTTCTTTGGTTATATTATTGTTGATTTATTTCTTACTGATAGTTAATTTCAAGGATATTCATCTGTGCCCAGTCTTTTATTTGATGTCATCCACATTCTTTTTTGCTCTAACCACACACACACATATTAATTGTCACAATTTATTGCAACATCAACATAGACAAATATTTTCAGACATAGATACTCCAGTGAGTACCGTATTTGAACTAATAGATGTTCATCTCCAATAAAGCTGCATATTAACCAATACTTGGATTTATTGTACACTAAATTTTTAAAATATAGATTAACCACAGAAACATCTGTCATGTACGTAAGCACATGTTATACTAATAGACCAAATACAGGAATGTAGATTCAGTGATACAGTACAATATTATAAGAATTATACATTGTTGTTACTTATTAACACTTATCAGGACATTAGAGACCAAGAGCACGTCCAGGAGGAAATATTCAAAGACATATCAAAAGTTGCCCAATCTCTTGTCAAAAGCTGTTCACCAACAAGAGTGGATGCGAATGTTGAACACCTTGAAACGCGTGAAGCAGAGGATTGTCAATGTCCGTGACCAGGTGCCGAAGAAACAGAGTGCCTTGCAAAAGATAATGCCATTAGTGCAGAAGTGGGAAGATGGAATTAAAGATGTGGAGGAATGGATGGAAGAGGCTGATACATTGATGAGTTCACATGTATTGGATGGAAACAAAGATAGAACGAAAGCTAGACTTCATCAGCATCAGGTAACAATGATAAAGTAGTATGATAATTAGATTAATGCTGCTCGTACCAATAAATATGATATATAATAGATAATATTTAGTAATTATTGTTATAGATAAAATGTTGTGAAATGTTTTCAAATGATGATAAATGTGCTTATCTCTAAGCTTTTGTCATGTATCAAGTAATTGTTGTGTTAAACTGATTGGATACAGTGCTAGGATAAACCTGACAACTCCACACACAATGTACCTGTATGACGCAGACTCTGCTTCATGCTCTATGCAAACACATAACACGTTACCAGGCAACAATCGGTGTGTATACTTCATCAGTATGATTTTTCACATCATCCCAGGTAATAAATATTAAAATACAGTATACTTGTTGTGGGTTTCACCATCTGTCACTCTATTCACATCATCATTAGGAGTTCTTCCGAGATGCTCCTCACTATGACCAAGTGATGGAGAGTAAGAATAAGTTATGTGATGACATAAGCAAAGGTCATGGTGGTGCTATAGATACCTCACAGCTGCAAAACAAGATGACTCGACTTAATGGACATTTCCAGGTACAGTTAAAATTTAAACCTTTCTATTAACATACCAGTATCACTACCTTTTATGTTTGTTTTCACCTTAATATTGTGGTCAATCATTTATTTTAAATCTTCATATTAATATTAATAAATTGGAATTATCTTGTTTTTGCAATCATTTTTGTTTTTCCATACACTTCTCCAAAGTGCTGAGATTTGTGAGTGTGTTCAACATCGTTGAGACACAGAATTTTAATTTATACCAACATATGCTCTTTTCTTTTTCTCTTGCAGAGCATTATGGGTAATGCCCAAAGCTGGGAGAAGAAATTTACTGGTAGTCTGGACCTTTGGACTAAGTACTTGTCATCACTTACTGACATAGAACAATGGATTGAGGCATCACAGGCTGTCCTCAAAGATAAAAATGATAATATAGAACACCTCATAGAAAAACATCAAGTAAGTCCAAAAAAATTACAATAATGTGACGTTGATGTGCATGTATAAAAATCATTCTTTTTTAATAGCATTAGAAGATTGATCAATTCTAACATCAATTGGATTCAGTATCGAGAATTAATTTTTGTCTTTTCTTTCATTTTAGGATTTTTTTAATAATGTTGATCAAGATATTCTAGAGAATTTTCTCAGGGCTTCTAGAGAATTATTACATGCTATGCAAGATGATGAAAGACCTGAAGTAAAACAAAAAATGACATCCACGCAGGCCAAGTGGAAGGCAAGTAACAGTGGATTTTTGTATGTATCATCAACATGGTGTATACAACATTGTGTAAAATACAAAAAAAATATAAAATGCTTTAAAATACAACAAAATGAAAAATTAAGAAAAGACATTATTTATTTTTATTTGTCACTCCATGCAGTATTTATGGGAAATGTACTTCTAACAGTAAATATACAGTACTTATTTTTTTCTAACTTTCACTACTTGTCTATCTGTGTGTATAGGATGTGATGTACCAGTCTCCTATGAGGCTAATAAATCTCAGGTTTAAGTTAGCAGAAGAACATTTATTAGATAGCATAGACAGTGCTGAGAAAGAATTAAATGAAGAAGTTAAAGATATGAATGGAAACAAAAAAATGCAAGACATTTTACAACAACATACAGTAAGTATACCTTGCCATCAGTTTCATTACTTGTGTTTCACTCGCAGAATGTACTTTAAAAGTCTGTGTGCTATGAAAATAAAAACTCATCGTATATGTGCTACTTTATTTTTTATTACAGAGATTTTTTCATGAGACAAATTTCTTTAAGAATGGTATCCAGTGTTTGCAAGAGATGGAAAGCCTTAGCAATCAGTTGACAGCCTATCGAGCTGAAGATACCTCTTTACGAGAATTACACGACTTACGCCACCGACAATGGAAAGAACTATGCAATAATATTGATGATATCCATCGACAGTTACATGATTGGCCTGAAAAATGGAAAGACTATTATACAAGGTATGTTTGCTGACTTGGTTTTCAAGATTATAGTCTTTATGATATCTTCAATTCCTGTGTTGCTAGGCAACCAATATTTGCTTCCTCCCTGGATAATTTTTGTTTCACAATATCACTTATAAATCATCCTGAATTTTGTTTTATTGCATTATTTTATTTACTGGTATGCAGCACAAATGTGTGTCATTTCAATTATGTATTTAAAAAGAATACAATTGAGAACACTGAAATACTACTGGAATAATTCATCTTTCATAAAAATGGAATATCATTTTCCTGGCCTCAGAAATTGGAAAATAATCTTACATGTATGTATTGTTTTTGTCATGTTAGGTTCCATGCAGTATCAAAATGGATGGACAGTGTTGATGATTCCGTTTCTGCTCTTAAAAAAGCTGCAGCATATGATGAATTCAAGGTTATTCATGAAAAATTTCAGGTGAGTAATTTCTGAATGATACTTTTATCCTGGACATTATAAATGTTTTATAAAATTTTCTAAATTAAAAATGGCTATTGTACTGTTTGATTTACAATTTACCAATCCAGCAATGGTGCTGTGACATTATAGTGAATATAAATTTTAATATTGAGTTGGTTTTATTGTCATCCAATCAGCAAACACTTAAAATTTGAATAAGTGGGCAATCACAGACACTTCATGTAAGTCACACCCATATATGATTGTATTCACAGTATAGGTGTTTACAATGTTGAGCTGTAATCCAATCAAATTTACATATATACTGGTAAATTTCAATGAGGGTTGATGTTTACAAATATTTATAAGGTACAAGTTTCTACCACTCACTGTATGCAAGTTTTTAAGTTTCAATACTTACAAGTAAAGTATGGCTATGTTGTAAGCATTATCTTGTTTCATTGTAGGCAATCAGCCAAGACATCAAGAGACACCATGACGATACACAGTGGTTAGTGAACACATTTACAGACCTTTCACAAAGCTGTACCGAGGATGAAATGATGACTGAGGATAAAAAGCTTGCAGCACTTCTAAATAGACATAAACACCTCCTTCCCAAAATAGAACTTGTCAGGGTAGAGGCTAAGGTTGTTGAGGAGTGTTTTGAATATCAGACGGTTGTCATGACAACCAGAACATGGCTGAAAAAGAAGAGGAAGAGGATGACAGAGGTTCCTCCTGCGGATAGTTTAGAAATTGCCAAGGAGCAGCTGAAGGAACATCACACTCTGATTGAAGAGCTGGATAGCGGCAAAGACAAAGTACATGAAGAACTGAAGAAAGGCAAAGAGTTGCAAAGACAAGAAAGTGCTCCTAACTTTTTAAGAGAAGATGTCAGTGGGTTGGAGGAGGAGTGGAAAGATACAAATGCAGAGGCTCACCAGAGAAAGCTCCAACTAGAGGTAAGAATTATTAGTCAGCTTCAGAAATGTGATGAGGTGTTAAAAGTTGGAATTGTGGAATTAAATCATCACAAAATGTGGTCTTCCCTGATGACATACATAACACAAACAAATTCCAGAATGTGCTGTAATGTTTTATTTTTCTAACAAATATATATTCATAAATTACCAAAAAAGTCATCATGTTACTCACATAAATAGTTTTTACCTTTTTTGTGAAATTATTAATAACCAAATGAAAGGTCAGGGCAACTAGTAAGTTACTCAAAGTATTGAGACTTTATTTTTTACAGAGTTTAACAATGATGTTGATGTCTAACTATTCAAAGGTAAAAATACTGTAAACTGAATGGAGACTCTTTGTATAAAGCAAGTCAACACTGTCAATTTATTTGCATTACTTTGCCTGTTTCAATCTATGTATGTCTAAACACATGTCTTTGGTATGTCTGCTTGTTGCCAATGTACATGAATGTAATCTTATTTGGCTGACTGCCAGTATTTATCTCGGCTGTCTGTAATTTTCTACCGTATTCCTTCACATTTAGCCATCACTTTATCTGATATCATTCCTGTATTTTTTATCGCAAAAAAAGATCAAGATCATTTGATGTTAAATCTGATAATTAAGTTCTGTTATTGGAAAGCATGTAATTTTTGGAATGACTTCTTTGATATTTATTTTTTAAAGTAGCTGTCTTGGGTATTAATATCAATCCTTCTTTGTCACATGTAATCCATCTTTTTTTTTTTACCGTTCTTCATCTCATGTATGTCTGCTCTGTGTTTGTGCGAATTTTTTTACTATTGTTATCTTACTTTTGATTTGTTTCATTTTCAGGAAGAGTACGATCTCTGGGATGAATATGAAACAGAGAAGGGCATTGTGTTGGATTTCTTGAACAAAACCGAACCTCAAATGGAGAAAAGAACCCAGCCCAACGGACTGGAAAGTGTTAGGACAGATCTCAATGAAAAAGAGGTAACATTCATAGAACAATTTTAAAATAATTCTATTTTTTTTAGTAAGAAATGGAATATTAAAATACATGTATATACAGTATGTGAATATTTTAGAAGGAAACTGATGTACATGTTTTATCAAATTCTTAATTTTAGGATCTTCTTGAAGCTCAACAAGCCCTCTCTCCAACTCTATCAAAAGTTAAATCCACCAATGCCAAGCTACAAGATGTGGCACCAGAAGATCGTATATCCAGTCTCCATGATGAAGTAGTAGACATGGAGAAGCGATATAAACTATTAAATACAAAACTTAGCAACAAAGTCAGTAATCTCACCCAACAGGAGAACAATTGGGTAGTCTACTATGGTCGACTTGACAAATTCTCTGATTGGCTGCAAGGTACGGAGAAAAGATTTGATGAGGTCATCAAAGCAGAAGGCACGCCAGAGGAGCATTTCAGTAAAGCCAAGGTAAATCATTCTTGATTACAATAACTCACTGTCTAGATCATAGACATATTTCCACAATATGTAATTTTACAAATGTTCATATTAAAATTGTTCATACTAGTCATTGGCAGTTCATCATGAAGTCTTATTTTTGATCAATTACAAAAATGAATATAACATTTTTCTGTCCTTAGGTGATGTTTTCTGAAATTTATGACAACTATGAAGACTTAGAAAATCTTGAGAAAGATGGAAGAGACCTTGGACAAGGCTTCAAGACAAAAGAGACTTCAGTCCTAAAAAGAAGACTTTCAGACTTGAGAAGCAGATGGGAAGAACTTTGTTCCCGAGCCAAAGCCCAGAGTACACAGTTAGCTGACAATGTCACCCATTGGCAGCTCTATCAGAACTCCACACAGCAGCTATTGCCATGGTTAGAGAGGACAGAGGCAAGGATTGCCGAGACTACAAATAACTGCTCATCACCTATTGAGGTGCAAGCTTTAATTGATGACCATGATGTGAGTTGACAATATTTTCATTTTTAAATATAAATGTACATATATAACATTCCATATTATTTCTAGAATAATTTTTTGGCTCGTAATATGTTTTGCAGATTTTTTCCATCAATGTTCATATTGGTTTTTCAGTTATTTTTTGGCAATAAATGTCTTTTAATATTAATCATTTTAAAAATAATTGAATATATTTCAGGTTGTGTGCAAAGAAATCCAGGATAACAGGCAGGTCATGGCCACAATTGAGAATGAGGTTAAACAAGTATCTTCCCAGCATAACATTAGTGAAGATGTGAGAGAAATTAAACAACGATGGAAGGCATTACTGAAAAATGCTGATGACAAGGGACATACACTACAGGACTTATTGGCACAGTGGTCCAAATTCAGTGAAGATTTGGCAGCCTTTCAGAAGTGGCTGGAAAAGACTGAAAAAATCGTCAAAAAGGAGAATATTGATTCAGCCAGTACACCGAAATTAGAATCGCTTCTGTCTGTTTTCAAAGTGAGTCTTAGTCTTTCTACTCTCACTTCCCTTCCTATTTTCTGGATGAAAATTAAGCAAAAATGAAATTGTTTGATAACTCATTGGTGTGCTTAAGGACTAAATTTAGGCTTTTTACTTGGCTCGTGAAATTCATGTCTTTTTAAGTAAAGGACTCTTGAATGTTCAGGTGTCAGTTCATCTTATTGCTCAGTGATGAGCATATGTTCATTCAAGGGGCACAGTTCATTAAAAAGAAATTCCTCACTTGTTGTCAAGTCCTGAACTAAGCAAATTCGTTGATTTCTATCTTTCTATGAGTTCTTTTTATTTGTTTTTAATTACTATTACCACTACCATTCCTCTGTTGAATGCGCAAGTGTTTCTCAATAAATATATCAGATGGCATATACATGTATATACCGGTAATTTTATGTCATACTTGTGCACTGATTAAGCTAAAATTTTATTGTCTCTTCACAGAAATTGCAGCAAGAGGTAAAAGATGCTAAACCTAAGCTAGATGAATTCAATGTCCTCAAGGAAAGTCTGTCATCTCAATGCAATGCCATGGGTGTAGAAAACATGAACCGAGGAACCAAGAATGTCCGAATCAAATACAACAAAGTTAAAAACAAACTTGGTGACACTATAACGACCATTATCACAGCTGTCAATGTAAGAAGAGAGTTCATGTCCAGACTGGAGATCACTGCTAATCAGTTGTCTGAGTTTCAGAGTCGATTAGATGCACTTAGTGAGGTGTACTCGGATGATTTACCAGACTCTCAAGAAGCACATAATGTAAGTTGAAATTTGAAGTTTCTAAAATAACAGTGAAACCCGGGAATTCAATGATCATCTCCTCATTATATCAGTGAGTAAATGAAAAGAAATCTTAACTTATTTTGGTTTGCAGAACGTCAGAAGTGATATAGATGATCTAAAGGCTGTCACTATTCGAATCGGCAAAGAGGTGAGAGATTTGATACTTGACATGGGTCCTGAAGAGTCTCAAGTACTGCAACAAAAAGAAGCGAACATCCAGAAAACCTACGCAAGTCTTGTAGAGACTTTGGACAAGCGTGATCAGTTACTGAAACAGTGGATAGAATTCCAAAAAGATAAACAAGACATTGCTAGTAAATTAGATAACATGCAATCTCAGCTGGAATCTGAGGAACCTAACGAGGCAGAAATCGAGAAATGTAAGGATGAGCTGGTCTCTGTGAAATCTGTTTTGAATACTTTAGGTGGGCAGTGTAGCGACATGGACAAACAGGTACAGCAGCTACAGCTATCTCCCAAGGACACTAAAACGCAGGCACGTGTGTTCTTCAAAGTCGAGTTACAGAGTTTACTGACCCAGTATGAGACCCTTATGGTGCTGGTACAACAGAAGAAAGACAGATGCGAACAAAAGGCTGGCATGTGGAAAGTCTACCAAGAGAGAAAGCATAGGTTCTTAAACTGGGCTGGCGATGTGGAAATAAAAGCTGAGTCACACAAATCAACTACCGTCTCTCCGGATACATTAAAACAACAACTGAAAGACCTAGAGGTAAGTACATGTATTGATTATCACGTTACATATCATGTTCCGTTGCAGCGAAAACGACAAACAAACGACACAGACTTCATAGTGGGTGTTCTTAAAATGTGTTTTCTACTAAATTTCTACTGTTTGTTATGTGTGAAAAAGATGTCCAAGTGTCCAATGTTTTCTTATTATAAATATTCAGTAGATTCTACAAGTGATGGGACTGAAACTAACAAATGCATGATTGGATTACCTGTAAATTGTGTTTTTATATTAAACTAATCCACTTTGTTGAGTAATAACAACTCTGCATGTGATAAGCGTCAAAGTACAAAACAACTAGTACTAGTGGTGATACTGTTTGGTGATAGATTTTAACTCCCCTTATCTATGTATAATGGTACAACCCATGAATTAGCAACAATTGGGATACACTGATTTATGTATAAACTAACTTGTTAAACTTTAATGGTTATGGGTTTTCTTGTATGGTGGCTTTTTTGTGCTTTACAGAAACTGCAGGTGGAGGTTGCGGCTCACCAGCATGAGGTAGCCCAGGTGAAGGAGAAGGCGCATCAACTGATTCAAACTGACCCACAGAACAGCGACACCTTGCAGTCTGACATTCAAAACATAGACACCAAATGGGAGAAAGTACAGGCATTAGTACATCAACAAATCAAAGAGTCTAAATCAATACTGACTTTATGGTTAGAGTACAATGATAACTCCAATGGGGTTGGTCGTGTATTGAGTAGTGTTGAGGCTGTTACAGCTGAGCCACTCACCAGTTCAAACTCAGAAGATGTCCGTAGACAGATGACCAGACATGAGGTTGGTGCCGTCATCAAGCCCACAGAATTTTAGATTATTTCACTCCTGCACATTATATGTTCAGTTCATTCAAACTCATTTGTATGTTTAATTGTCAAGCTATATATTTATTTGAAATTTGATCACCTAATGACATTTATCTTTTCTGTATTTTCTTAATATTTGTCTTCACTTTAGGTAGTCTATGCAAATAACTTAGTTACAAAGCATTAGATAAGTGCATTAGATATACAATTTGTCTTAAAAAATCGGCTCTTCTATCCAAAGATTGATGTGTCTCTAATGTCGTTAATGAATTCTTGAATATTTAAATTATTTGTTTATTGGGTAGAACTAGCTGTGAATCTAAAATTGTTTGTTAGTTCTGAGGTACTGGTTGCAACACAGTGTTTTGGTATATAATTGTGGAATGAATGAAACCATGCACCAAAATGAAATTTGTTGTTTACATTGTCATTATTATTACCGTATAACTTCTAAAACATTATTACCAGACTCATTTAACTGCCTCTAATTTTGTAGATCGCTGAAGCAGAACTCGCTAGTGCTAAAGACCAGTTAGACAAACTGAACCGAGTTGGTGACCAGTTGATGACTGAAGTAGAAGCTGCTAAAGGAGTCAAACCAAGTGAGATTGAGGATGATGTGCAGAGAAGTAATCTAAGATATGCGGTGGTAGCAGAGAGACTGGATTCTAGGAAAGAAAACCTGGCTGATCAACTATCAGTTCTTGATAGTTTGACTGCATCCAGGGAGGAGTTAGCCACATGGTTGCATAGCTCACAGTCTGATCTCAGTGCTGCACCAAATCAGTTCTCTGACAGTAATGCTGTGGAACAGAGACTTAGCAACTTCCGTGTAAGTAAAACATTTTAACATCATTGTGCTAGACAAATTTATTCATTTTTTCTAATTTTTAATCAGTTAGGTATGTTTTATGTACCGGTAGTAAATTGCATATTGAAATCCGGTATCATTTTATAAATTAATAAACAACAAAACATTAATAATGGTCTTCTTGCTGAATTCATATTCATTTTAAATCACAGCACTTGTAAATAAAAATCTGTTCTTATGTACTAAGGTTTTTTTGTTCCTGTGTTTAAAGCTTAAAATTGGAGCTACCCATGTATGCATGTGTTTATATCCATGTATTTAGTTGACTGATATTCTAAGCAATGTTTAAAACTTTAATATGGATTATTATTATAAACATTTGACCATTAAATGTGTATTACAGGATCAACTAGCTGAAAAGGAATCCTCTCTTAATGCCATGAAGGCTAAATTGACTGAATTAAAGAGATTGAATCCGGATGCCGATTATCCTGAATTAGAAGCAGCAATAGCACAGATGGAAAGAGAATTAGCCCAAGCCAAACAGGTAGCCATTCACTTCATGTCATAACCAGAAAACGCTTTATAGTCCTTGTACTTGCCTACTTGCTTGTTTTTTTCCATTCTTTAGTTTGTTGTTTTTTTTATAATTTTTGATCAAATCAGTGTTAAGCATCATAAAATGTTGTTATAAATTGATTAGAAATTTACATTACAAATAAAATGTGATAAAAACATTGTTAATATAAATTATACTATTATATCAAAATGCTGTCTATTCTGTGCAACAGCTTGCCAAAGACCAGGAGATGGGTTTGCATGAACTCACAGTACAAAAAGCAGATCTTCAAAATGTTGTAGAAGGATTGAAAGATTGGCTTGATAGGACAGAAGATAGATTGGGATCCTGTGAAGATAATACTAAACCTGATGGCAAGGTGGTACAACAGCTCAAAGAATGCAGGGTGAGTGTAGACGCTTTCATTGTAAATTTCCCTTTTTTGTTGATCATGTGTTTGTATAGAGTAATACAAGAATGTCACCAAAAACAAAAATTTTGATAAAAAAGTCTTTTTCCAAAAATGTAGACATGACAGCTTCTTATTGGCTCACCAAACCTAGATATCTCACTCTCTGGCCAATCACAGAACACCTTGATCAGTTTGCTTTTCATATATTATGTGAATTGTCTCTGTAGAAAACCATTGATGACTTGCGTGCACATCAGCCTAATGTGGATGGAGTTCAGAGTAAACTACGCAACATGTCTGGTAAATACCCAGCAACTGATTTAGTTAACGTACAACAAGAGATTGCTGTAGTGGCAAGAAAACATGATGAACTCAAACACAGAGGAGCTAAGGTGAGACATTATTGTACGGGGATGGGGTTGTTGTTAAAATATCACAAAGTTTACAATCCCTCAGTACTGTAAGAGTAATGATTGGTTTTAAATATTTGTATCTACAAATAAATATCACCCGATTATAAATACCAAATTTTAATAAATGACATCTCAGACATCATTGTAAATAAAAAATCTACTTTACCCCTTACCTGTTGACTCAGATTAGTTGACTTTGGTGGCAAACATTTACGTAATAACTTATTTTTCTGTACAGATCCAAGATTCTCTGGAGACTACTTTACAGCAAAGATATAAAGATGCAAGCCAGGAATATTCCAAGTGGATAAAATCAGCAAAGTCTTCATTACACAGTTGTGCTGATACATCTGGTGATAGAGCGTTCATTGAAACTAAATTGGACAAACTTAATGTAAGTCTTTGTGCATAATGTCTTTACATTATTCATGCCAGATTAATTGAGTTAATCTGTGGTTGAGTATTTATCTTCGTTGTGGTAAAATAGAGCCATCAGCTGCAAATATCAATATACTTGTACATAAATATATAAAGATTGCTTCGTTCAATTAGTTCATATTCTCCTTTCACGATGATGAATATGATTCATGAGGAGGACTTTGTTTTATACAATTTTATATGAATATACAACTTTCTGTATTATGCTGTATACCAACGATAATTTATGGAGTCCAAGTTAGTGTGGTCCCTGATGTGTTGAAGCAAGATTGTCACTATTGACATTTATTTTACTATTACCTACTTGTTTTTGTATTCTACACCAGGATCTGGATGCAAACATAGAAGAAGGTAAAACTAAGTTGAGCAACTTAAACAACAAGGGAGATCACCTGTGGCCAACTTTACCTGATCCCAAACAAGAAACCATTAAGCATGAACTAGCTCTTGCCAATGAAGAATTCAATAAATTGACATCTGATTTGCTAACATGGTTGGATAAGTTAGAAGAGTGTGCTGATCTTTGTCAACAATTTGAAGAATCATTTGATGAGTTGTCAAATTGGATGAAAACAGCTGATGAAACACTCAAGTCACAAGCTGGTCCCAAGAGAGATTTGGGACAAAAAGAAGACCAGCTTGAAGATTTCAAGGTATGTTGAGGCAATTATATAACACTATGAACTACTTTCCCTAAGTGGTTGTTTATTATCCTAAATAACAATTGATTTTAATGATAATAACATGTTTGTGTTTTGAAATTGGCCTCTGGAGACAATGAGTATTGTCATCTGATTTTTGCTAGATTTCCTGGATGTTATGTAAGAACCAACACAGGCAAACAGCAAGCTTCACTGGACAACATTGCTCAATGATCACATGATCGTGTATTGACCAATTAAAGCAACTGCCATATATGTGAGGGATAGTAATACACAGTATTTGTTTTCTATATTCAGAGCTTAGACCATGACATTACAAAGAAACAACCTTTGGTGGATCTTGTGAAAGAAGGAGCTGAAAGCCTCACTGAAGTCAGTTCCACTAATGCTAAAGTTGTTAGTCAGGTTGCCCAAGTAACCAATACCTACAATATGCTGGCTAAAAAAGTTAAGGTAAGAGTCTTTTATTTTAATTTTATGATTTGGCTTTTGGCTTTAGTTTTTGATTGAAAGGTAATTTTGAATAGATTTTGCGGCATATTTTAAAACTCAGGTTGAATGAAACATCGTCAAGAATTTATTCCATCTAG